TCACTTGGCATACCCAATGCTCAACTCTATGGAGCTAACCCTCAGCCACAATGTATGGTTAAGTCTTGGATGACATCTGTATCCAACATGTCACCCCCACCCAACCTTTCCCAACCATGAGTTCCCAAACACAGCCAGTGGTAGTTGTGTTGCTGAAAAGTTGGTCCAGCCCTGAGCAATGAAACACGAAGGCCAGCTAGACCAGTGCCAAGAAGTAATGGTGAATCCAAGCGGGAAATGGCTAAAATAACATTCCTTGGTGGAGGAAGGGTGTTGGTGACCAAGCAGAGGAGTATAGATTTGCTATAGTCAGATATTAGGAACCACTGTAATCATTTATTTCAATTAGTAGGGACAGATATTTCCCTTGATTAATATTGAGAAATAAGAGCCCTTTTGTTGACAAGGCAAATGAGTTGCTTCCCCTAGTTAAAGGAAGTTCTGCCGACAGTCTAGTGAAGCATAATTTTGTGTTAAACAGGCCAACAGGGAAGGCATCCAGTCCAATTTACCCCCTCCCAAAGTCTTGGTTGAACTCCACCCCAAACTGGCCCGAGGCTATTTGGTTTGGAAGCTGACAGTCCATCCTCTTCATGGCTTCTGTTCACACTCTCACTGGCCTTGGGGGATTGTAAAGTCAAAAGAGGCAGGGATTGCAGTTAGTTGACCAAAAACAAATGGGGCTCACCCCCTACTGCACCACCCTGCACTGATGTGCAGCACCCCACCCAAGTCAATACAGCTGGCTTTTCCCTGTAGGTGAACTTGATGTTACAATCTAGGGATGGAAATTGCCCAAGATAGAGGGAAATAATTGGGCTTGGAATGTGGCTGGAGGATGCAATGGGCAGAAGCCAAGACTTGAGTGAAGGTTGAGATGGAATAAACAGAAACTGTTGCATCTGGGAGAGAGTAGCTACCAACTTGCTCCACAAACACTGGGCTATTGGATCACTAGCACCACAAACTTTTCGAAGGACGCCGATTTAAGATAAGGAAAATGTACCACTTTGCCCAGAATATGAAATCAAAAAAAGAGTACAGACTGAAAACTTGCACAAAGTAAATATGTGGCTGATTCTTAACTCATTGAGGGCTGAGATCAGAGTCTTTATTGCTCACCATTATATCCCCAGGACCAAAGATAACCTATGGCACATAGTAGGATCTCAGTACATGTTTGTTGAATGAATAAAAGATTTGTACAATAGTAGTGATAGTAATAGTGACTAATAAATATTTGTTGAGCCCCAGTTGTATGCCATGCAGTGTTCTCAGTACTTTACATGTATTTCCCAGCTGACTGAATCCTCACAGTGCCCTCTAAAGTAGGCCTATTATTATTATTCCCATTTTACGGAGGAAGAAAAAAAAGCTGGGAGGATTATGCCTTGCTTAAGGGTATGTGGCTATAAAGCAACAGAGCTTCAACGAATGGTTAATTATTAAGGGGAAGCATGAACACCTGGCCACCCCTCGGACCATTTGTGGTCTCTTAGCGTTCATAATGATCACCCAAGTTTACTAGGAGGCAGACTCACTGTAGGGTAAATGGTTTTCAGGCTTTTCTGCCCTCCCACCATTAGGATTGCCCTGCCTGATGGGGCACCTGCAGTTGTTACATTATTGTAAGCTGTGTTGTTTACTTCTGTGGGCCATGGCTTAGTGTTGAGATAGTCACCAAGAGAAGCAGAAGCAGGAGAAGAGGCAGGAGAGAGAAGGGGAGAAAGAACACCAGAGAAGCCCAGAGTGAAGACTTGCGGGGGAGCTTAGAGGCCTACCGGCCTGCTGCTCCCCCCCCACCCCAGCACCCCTGTCTGCCATGCACCCCTGTCTGCCATGTACCTGGTTGCTACACTATATGTAAAAGCTCAATGAAAGCCTGAGAAACCCACTGAGGTCTCCAGGACTTTCCTTTACCCGCCTATCTGCTTGGATCCTAGATATCCTGCTCTGTGCCTTCCTGGCACTACACCCACCGTGATGATTATTATTTCCCATGCCTGGATGTTCTCCTCAATCTGCTCTATCACATTACACATATCCACACATTGCTCCTTTCTTCCTGGCAGAACCCTGCTCATTCTTTAAAGATCCAGCTCAAATCTCACCTATTTTACCAAGCCTACACTGACTACTTGTGCTAGAAGAGTTCTTTCCCACTTTGGAACTCATATAGCACCCATGGGCCATACCACTCATTTGATACATGAAAGCTACATCACATGCTGGTTAAGAGCCAGACTTTAGAGTCAGACAGGGCGGGATTTAAATTCCAGCTCTGCCAATTTACTAGGTGTGTGACTGTGGGCAAGTTACTTAACCTCTCCATCAAGGAGCATGATCTTTGAACTGGAAAGAGAATTAAAGTCCAAGATAGATGAGGAGATAATAAGGGAGTACTTAGCTGCCTTCAATGAGTTCAAGTTTCCAGGTCCAGACAAATTACATCCGAGGCTACTGAGAGAATGTGCAGATGTGATCACAGAGCCAGTCTTAGTAACCTCTGAGAAATTTTGGTAAAAGAAAGAGATGAGAGCTGTAAGGAGGCAGGCAAACGTTGCAATTTTTAGTGAAGGGGGTGGTGGTGGTGCAGGGTGCAAAATGCAGATCCTGGAAACTACAGATCAGTGAGCATGGCATTTGTCTTTGGCAAAAGTATAGAATGCACTATTGAGTAGATTATTCGTGAGGCTTTTGAAAAAGAGCGGACGGAAATCACCAGGGATAAGCATGAGCTCACTAAAAACAAGTCATGCTTAACTAAACCCATTTCCTTTTTAAAATTGGTATCTATCTAGAAGGGTAGATGGAAGGAATACCATAGCATAATACATCTGGATCTCAGAGAGATCTTTGAAAATGTCTCCAAGAAGATGGGGAAATAGGAGCTGGATGATAGCCAGAGTTATACACAGGTTGCTTCATGTTTGAACAACATTTTAAGAAGTGATTGTTAATAAGGGGAGGGCTCTAAGGTTACTCTACATTATTCTGTCCTGGACCCTATATCATTCAATACATTTCTTAGTCTGGTTGATCAAATAGGCAGATAAAAGAAACTTGGTAATATAGAGCACACACTCTCAAGGGGAATGATATCACCCTCAAGAGGACAAGAATTGGTTCTGGAGAAGTAGAAAAATATCTTTTCTATATAGATCTCAGCTATATGCACAGTATTCAAAAATATATTCCATGTACATTGCTATAGGAATTTGATATTCAAGATGAGAGACTCAAGGTGTAGAAAAATGAGCAGGGAACACATTATTTTAGGTTAAAATAAAAATCAACTGAATAAAAATCAAGCACTAATAGTAGTAGTTCAAGTAGTTCTTGTAGTAGGTCAAGTAAGTTCAAGTAAGAAACAAGAGGATTTTAATTGAGTTAGAAGCTACACACTGAGCAGATCTCCACTGAAAAGACAACCAGAATGGCAAAGCCTGGAAACCATGTCCTATGAGGCCTGGTTTAAGTGAACTGGGAATGTTTCGTCCGGAGGAGAGCAGACTTGGGTAACATGACAGATATTTGAAAGGTTTGTCATGTGAAAGAGGAATTAGAAATAGTTTGTGTGAGGCTAATTTTTGTTTACTTAAGGAGGAGACCTTTAACAATGAGAAACTGCCCAAACGTGGAGCAAGCTGCTTTTCAGAGGGATGAGTGCTCTGTCTCAGCAGAATATTTTTTGCACTGAGCAGGAGAGGAGATGTGGCCTCGAAGTTGTTTTTTTCTTTTTTTCAAATTCTCAGATTCTCTGATTCCCTATTCATATGAAAAGCATGGAGGTGGAAAAGACTGAAGAAGAAGAGGCAAAGCCCCCCCGTCCTTGGTTTCCAAGCCCAATATGAGGGTGTTCGCTTGAGTAATCTGCCACTGGAACCAAGTTGGGGGCCAACATTGAAATTCCTAACCCTCCTGGGTGCTGGCATTTTGTATTGCTCACCACATCTACCTCAACTTCATCTTGGCAAAGAGGGTGAGCAGGCAGAGGATATTGTGGGGAAATACCAAGGCAGAGGGCTCAGATTTGTTTCATGAAAATATGCTGTGGGGCCAGAGGTAAGGAAAATACACTGCTCCATTTTGCTCACTAGTTTCTCTCTCTCTCTCCCCCCCTCCCCCTCCCTCCCTTCCCCCCTCCTTCCTCTCTCCTCTCCTCCCTCCTTCCACCACTTTGGTTGAGGGAGTTGGGGAATGAGATGGCAGGAGTCTTCACAGTCTGTGAAAACTGAAAGGAAAAACTTGAGAACAGTGTCCCTGGGAATCGCGTCCCCGTAAATGTGTAAACTGTCTCAGGGAGTGGAACTTGACTGGGACGCAGACTAGTACACAGAGGTCTGGATACCCTGCCGAAGCCTCTTCACTGGCCTTTCAGAGCAAACAGATATTTCCTCTACTTTTTGCCTAACACTGCAAGGCAAACACTCCACAGACCTGTCGCTAAAAATTAGGCTTCTTACAACTGCCATGTTATCCAACTCCATCTACTTCACCATTAATGCTCATTTCTCTCTGCCCTTGGCCAAATGTAACTTGTTGCTTCCCACAGCAATTGTTTCTTCTGTGTCCCATTAGCTCCGCTTCTACTCACACTCCTTTGCTGACGTCTCATCACTATCCTAGATCAGTGTGCAAGGGCCATGTCTGCAGTTTAGCCCTCAAGAACTTTGCCAAGACTTAAAGATTTTCCCCTCTATGTCCTCTCTGGAGTGAGGTCCGTGTTTGTGTTACTAGCCCTGGGACAGAAAAGTCCGAATTCTCTCTGACCCCTCCCTGAAAGTCCTATTTCTCCTTGGAACAGAAAGAGCTTTCAAACGTGGCTTCCTGGGTTTTCCAATTTGCTGGTGGGTGGATCTGGAGTGGGCATCCCGTCTGCACATCTGGCAGGGGCGCCTTCCAGATTTTCCTCATGACTCAGGATCAGTTTCTGACTGCTGGGAGGGGCAAAGGCTCCTGAAGTTTCTGCGAGGCACCTCCCCCTGTGAGCAGAGCTTGGTATAGCCCAAATAGTTTTCAGGTTAAGAAAGCCAGAATCTTTGTTCAGCCGCACTGACTGGACAGACTCTGTGGGGGTTACCTGGCCAAGAGCAGCAGCTGCGGCAGCGGCAGTGGCAGCAAAAGCAAAACTCCTAGGAGAACTCAGGTGAGGGGAGAAGGTATTTGCAAACTTTAATCCTGACATTTATTTGCTGAATAACTTGGAGTCTAAAAGAGGTGAATAAACTCCAGCTCTATAGTTCATCAAGCTCCACAGTTACAACTTTATGGTTTGTCTGGATGGAATAGAGGTGCCCGGTAGCGGTTTGGAAACTTCAAAATTAATGGAGTTTTTGAGGGTGTGTGGAGTGATAGTGGTTATCTAGCAATGAAATTTTTCTTGGCAAATCTGTTCAGATTTTTTTTTTTGGTCCTCTGTTACCCAAAATACCTGGTAAGGGAGGACAAACCTGAGGATGGTGTGGGGTGAAAGGGAGAACCCAGGCTGATTGTCAGGGCGTCATTCTAGCTTCTGTTGACTCACAGCTGTGAGCAAATTGTTGAAACGCAGGCAAAATCTTAGAGCCACTCTAGGAAACTTTAAGCCCTGGAAGTGGGGTGCATGGTCTGGATACTGTTGCATAGAAACGAGTATCCACAGAGACATTCTTGTCTGCACAGCTGGGGAGTCCTCCCGATCTGGTAGATCTTGCCTATTTCTTTTTCAGTCCCTGGCCAGCCTGGTTTTGTTCTTCTCTGTTTCTTGCCTTGGTTCAAATTTTGATTTGTATTTGGGGGCTCTGTTCCCCCCCATTACACTGCCACTCATGTTTTAGGGGCTTAACTGGGTCATTTGACCTGAGCAGGCTGGCCGGGTGGGGGGGGGGGGGCAGGCACAAAAAGGAGCAGAACATTGCAATTGAAAAAAATAGGTTCTGTGAGTTTGGAACTCAAAGTTTGGTGAAAAGCCCATGAGAAAATTAAGCAATTTCTGATGTCCTGCCCATCATTCTGCCTTTCTGCCCATCACTTCTAGCTTCAGGGTAAAACATCCTGGTTTGTATAATTGAATATTAAAGTTTTGTTGAAATTCAGCTAATATATCATTTGCTCATCTTTGTTGTGATTAAGGACATTTTATAGTCTGAAGTCATTTTTTAAAAGATTCTTTGGGGAACTGCTAATTAACTCTTTAATCCTCTAGCAATGCGTGCGTGTGCGTGCATGCACAGTCGCATGTACGTGTGCATGAGCGCGTGTGTAAATACTTTGGATTTGAATAGCATTCTTTATTTATCCTCAGAGTCTGTGGCAGACTAGGAAAAAGTCCAAACACTTGTGTAGTCAGGAATAGGTTAAAAAGCAGGCTTTCTGTATCCTTGGGAGTTTTCAGCTCCTAAATTAAAAGCAGAAAAAGCCCCTTTGTGACCCCCAAACAGTGTTTCTTTGATTAGCCTTGATTTGAAATCATCTCACCTTCTGACAGCATGCAATTCAAAAGCAAAACAACTGAGTGCATGCTTATAAGAAGAAGACAGAATTTTCAAAAACAATGTCTTGGCGTTTTAGGTTTGCGTGTGCCCTCCCCCGCCCCCCACACCTTTTAAAATTGTGCTGAAAAGAGACGGGAGGTCCAAGGTTTGGTGCCAATTCTGTCACTATGTAACCTTGGGCAAGTCCCTTCCTGTAAAGGCTAGGAGTTGGACTCAGCGATGTCTAAGAGCCCTTCCACTGTAACATTCTATAAAAATTGCAATTAGAGTCTCTCAAGGCAGTAAAATTAGACTTATAGGATGGACTTATTTAGCCAAGAGGGAAAAAATGGGTACAGCAGTATGTCAGCCAAAAAAAAAAAAAAAGGAGTTAGAGAGTGGTGCATAGGCATTTTCTATTGGTCTTATAAATGCCAGTGAGTGTCTTATTTAAAGCTTATAATCAAATCACCCCAGTTTCCAGAAAGGACAGATAAGACATTTAATGAACTGCAAAAGATAATTTCTTAATACTACTGTCCCATGTTGGTCTTATCTTTAACAGTTAAAAATTATGCTCACGTACTTCATTTTATTAGGGCCCACCCTGATAACATCTGAGGTAGAAGAGACAGCCATCAGACTCTGGTAGTCCTTAGGGGAAACTGAGGGACAGAGATGGAATCTCGACGAATGGGTAGTATTTGGGACAGGATCCTGGATCTTCTGACTACCTGAGCTCTTTTTATGATTCTGAATTTCTTTTTTATTTTTTGATAGAGTTCTTCATCAATGGAATTAAAGGAATTGTGTGCTCTTTCTTTGCTTTGAATTACTTTGACTGTGTCCTCTCTCTGACCAGAATAGAGGCATTATGTAGGATGCCGGATCAGAGGATTTGTATGGGTCTTTGGGACCCCAGAATATCTGGCCAACAGTTGGAATCTGAGGAGCCGTCTGCTCCTTGGTGGGGGCATGCCCACAGGTGGGGCTATGACGCTGCCGGTGAAGACTCGGAAAGCACTTTTCTCTGTAACATGTGCACGTGGAATCTTTATTACTTCTTCCTCTCCAAGCCCCATTTCTCTCACCACACCACCCCCTGGTGTGTGTGAGGAGACGTCGTGTTGAGTGTTGCTAAAGTGGTGCCTACTTCGTGCCAGGGCAGAGTTAGATCTTCCGTATTCAGTTTAACCTACAAACTCTTAATTGCTTTTATGTCCAATTTTGCCTCAAGGACAGTGCCAAGGGGAAAATGGGGGGAAAAAAAGAAGCTAGGCAGGGCCGATGGCTCTGAGACCATGCTCTCTCCGTTCTCTTCCTTAAATGCCCTTCCTAGCCCTCCTGTTCATCCCAATCAGTTTGTAAACCGTAGACTGGATGGCCTTTATTAGATAAAGATTCTCTTTGGTAAACCTAGACAGATTTTATGTTTTTAGAGCGAAACCTGGTTTCTGGATGCAGGCTGACCCACAGGTATGAAGCAAGTGATTTTCCTCTTGAGAATTTATCCAGCTTCCCCAATTTTCCAGTCAGTAGCAAAAACCCCCTCTCCTTACTCTAGCCCGTAGTCCACGTGGCAGGCTCCCTTAGCTCCCCTGACAGTTCCCAGTTTTCCATACTCCCGACTCCTCTCTCCCACTCAACCTTGGCCCTTGAGGCCTTCCTCCTATCTCTAGCCATAGATCCTAATTCAAACAGTTCTACTGAAGATCATTACCTCAGTGCAAACCCCACACTCTGTTTCACCCAACCCCCCATGATACAACCTTTTCTGGACACAGGATCCCTCTTCTGAAATGAGTATATTTTCTTTGTTAGCTAGGGACTCTGATTCTGTTTACCAGCATTCCTCCCATGAGCTCTCTAACTTAAAGGTTCTCTTCTCTTCACTGTTGGTTGCAGTGACAGAGGAGAATTCCACCCTCCACTCTCATATGTGCTGTTATTTATGACCAGACCAACTTACAAATCTCTGGGTGTCCCAGTTTTCTGAAAGTTAATGGAGAAATCCTTTCATATGTGAAGAGTTCGCATTCTCCCATAATCATCAAGCCATTAAAATAAAGAACCTTTTCAATATCTACCCTGGCAGTAAATCCTAGGCAGAATGCCTCGAAGTTAGATATCATGTTTTCTTTGGAGAGTTCTCCTTATTTGAGGTAGGAAAAAAAAAAAAAAAAACCTCCTTTCTTTAAGGAGTAGTAACCAAAAGCAGTGTGAGGGGAATTTGACCTTTAAACCTGGCGTGATGCAGACCCAGGTTTGAGTCGGCTCTGCCGATTTCTGGCTGTCCCTTCTCTCCTGTCCTTTTTGCAGATACAAAATGGAGGGTGCAGATAATATCTACTAAATGTGGCCGCCATGAAGAGAACATGAACAGAAATGTACATTTCAAACAATAAGTTGCATAAAAACACTAATTTTCTACTTAAAATTGTTATCCATTCACCAAATCTTTACTGAACAGTGAGTGTGCTCCTAACTCTGTGCCAAGCATGGAGAGGGATTGCAGTGTATGTCTTGAACGTATGGTGCCCTTTCTACTTAATCAAAAATACTTTTAACTAAACAGTTAGGTACAGCTTCAGTGTAAGAAGAGTCAGATAGAGAAACCTGCTCTTTTGATGAGAAAGTGGAGGTGCACACACACATACAAAAACCAAGATCACAGCAAATGGAAGACTTCTCCTGTTATGTAGTCATAAAATATGGGTAAACGCTTCTGGAAGTCTGATGAGACCGGGGGCTACAATTGCACTCCAGTGCAAGACTGTCAAACCATATGCTACCAGCCTGCTACTCCTTATTTACTATGAGTCACCAAAATGTAGGCATTCTCACCCAAAAAGTTTGACCTATTTACACCAGCACTACCTTCTGTCTCTGAAAGAGTCTACTGGAGCCTACTGGTTTTTACTATCAAAAACCTGGTTTTTATTTTCAATTGATCGTGCTTCTGTCTATAGACAGACCCTCTCTGTATAGCTCCTGCCTGCCTTGCCATTTGAGTAGCAAGAAAGACTGATGAGGGCAGAGACCCTTCCCCAAGAACAGGAAATACTCATTTATCCAAAATGTTCAGGGACTAGGAGTTTCTGGCAAACTAAGTATCCTAATTGCCCCATACTGTCCCCCATTTATAGTCCCCAGCCTCTGGCAAGCCACCAAACCTTCCAGGGAAAGCAAGAGTCGTGTTTGTTAAAAGTTTGAACACACATGAAAATTGGGGTCCGTTTGTAATCGACTCCAGAAAGGAGCCTGGGCAAACATTCAGATTGGCCCTGATGCTGCTTAATGGAAACTTATTACTGATACCTTCAAACGCAACAAAATACACTTTTAATATTTAAAATGCATGAGCAAATTTAAATTTGATGACTGGGGAATTTCAGTATTTTGCAGTATCCCATGGTCTTCAATTTGAAAAGCAATCATCAGTAAGTAAGGTTATGTACAAACGGGTTAATGTAAGCTTCTTATTTCATGGATTCAGAAAAAGGTAAATTTGCTTACATGTATTACAGGTTTCAATAACATTTGGTTAAATTTTTATAGTCTTTGATTGGGGGGTTTCTTTGCTAGTGTAGCCACTCATTTGGGAACTATAGATCTTATCCTATGACAGTGCATTGTTGTTTTCTTCTCTTTTTAAAAAACAAAAACAAAAACAAAAAACGTTACATGGCTAAACAGAGAATGTAGTGGCTGTTCAGGCAACGCCTATAAGAGTGCCTCGCTCTTAAATGTCCTTAACAACTGGTTTTTGTAAACTGCTTGTCTATGTAATATTGAAAGGACATGAAATAAGAGGGTAGAGGTCTGACTAATATCACACTTTTTATAAAATAGTGGTTGACTGTTAACTCTAAATTAACTCATTTATTTGAGCTGTGTTACCCATATACTCCTTAGAGTATTAATGTTGACTTTTTTCCCCAAATTTCATCTACTTTTTTTAGCAGATACTCTGACCTTAGTCAGATTTTTTGTTTCAACCCTCATCATAAAATATAGACACAGCTATCCTGAAAACATGTTTTGAAATCACTGGCATCATGTCAGTTTCACAACCCTCTTCTCATTCACTATTGAATGTTATGAGAGGATCATTAACATCATTACAATCTATCTTTGTGAATCAAGCAAAGGCTTTGAAAACTCCATTATCACCCCAAAGCTGTTTAAAATCAAATTTGCCTTTCAAATTATCCTCATAAAAATCAGTTGTTAAAGACATCTGAGTGAGAGGCACGCCTATAGATGCTTCTTGAAGAGCTGCTATATTAATTCTCTATTTAGCCATGTGAGACTTTTTTTTAAAGAAAAGAAAGCAACAGTTTATTGCCATGGGATAAGAATCTATAGTCCCCCAAATGAGGGTAATTGAATTTCAGAGTCCGCCTTTTATCACAGGCAATGATTGCACATTAGACTTTAAAGAAGAAAGACACATACAATCTTTCTATCTTTCCTTGTCTTTGGAGGCCATCTGCTGAGCTCTTTCTTGTACTAGCTTTCTTGGCCAGGAATAAAAATGCAAAGCTCTTTCAATGCCAAAAGGGAAAGAATTGTGTAAGAGAGCTTGTTAGCCCGATGAAAGGGGCTACTTCTCTCCCCTCAAGCACAAAATATGTGGCCCTTCAGGGCACTAACTTATTTTGAATATAGGAAAGCAATTTTTTCCCTTTATCTTCAAACTTAGCATTGTTTTATTATTTTATTTTATTTTTGCCTTGAGATGCTCCTCCAGCTTAGTGTAAACTGGGAGATTGCTTTTGATATGATGATTCATGTTTAACTTGCAATCTTTACATATAAATGTTAAATAATAATATCTATTTTCCCAACAAGTTTGTTAAGGCCCATATTACCCCATTTAGCAGAGAAAGAAAGTGACACCTTGAAATGGTCAAAGCCCCAACTAGTTAGTTGCAGAGCCTGAATCCTTCTGTCCCAGAAAATGGTGACTTCCTGTAAACACAGTCTTGATATGCTCCTGGGATAAGTCTCTGTGGTAACTACTGTTCTTTCTAATCTTAGGTAATCTTTAAAAGACTCAAACATTTCTTTGTCCAATGGTAATTTTTCTCATTCTAGACATCGTTTGACATTATGGGTCCTCCTCTGAAGCTCTTTAAAAACCAGAAATACCAGGAACTGAAGCAGGAATGCATCAAAGATGGTAGACTTTTCTGTGACCCAACATTTCTGCCTGAGAATGATTCACTTTTCTACAACCGACTGCTCCCAGGAAAGGTGGTGTGGAAGCGGCCCCAGGTAACTTTCTGTTTTCACTTTCTGCTTCCCTCTTGCTCTTTTTTTCATCATAATTGTACTCTGTCCACAATTTTGCCTGCTCGGCCTGCTGCATGTAGACCAATTTAGGGCAGAACATTTACATTAGAAGTTCCATGGACCTGTGTTTCTGACTCTAGCTGGACGAGTCTTAAATTTTAATCAAATGTCAGAATCAGTAGTTTAAACAGGACAAGCAAGAGACATAGCTGTTTGTTTTCTTTTGGAAGTTCATTTGAGTAAATATGGTAACTCAAAAAGCAAGTTCTTTGTCTCCTTACTGAGTTACCTATCACAGCAACTTCGGGATAACCTCAGGCCAGTGAGGAGGAAACATTCTTTACATAGCAAGGAGAAATGAAATGAACTCTACAGGGACAAGAGGGTATTTACATTCAGGGAGGGAGGCTCCTCTACTGATCTTCAGATACCATTGCCTAAACCCTCTCACAACCAGTGGGATTCAAGTAGAACCACAGCTCTTCACCACATATTAATATGGTTCTCTGTGGCACATCTATATGTTGTGTCTCTAAATCAAGGTACAGGGCCTCCTCACAAGCACTATGTGATCGGGAGCTCAAAATATAAAATGATGGCATGATGGCGAATTCCAGAAAATAAATGGCAACCCTGATGTATCTACAGGGTACAACAACATAGAAGCATTTTCTATCCTGGCATCTTTCCAATGTGGCTGACAAGGTAGATAGGCCATAGAGAGCTATGATGAAATGCAAGTTCTTTGATCTTCACAATATCTGGAACACTGTTTGACCCTAATGAATCATGTACCTTTCTGTGCCCAGTTATGGAACCACTCCTGTCAACAACTCAAGGCTTGCCTTTTTCAATGAGCAAGCTATTGCTGTTTGTTTATTTTTTTTTAGGTGCTGTTGGTTTAAAACACTGTAATGATTCAGAAGTACAGAGCTTTTCAGTTGCAACGTCCGCAACCTAAACTCCTAAATGGAGTTCTTGCAAGAGCTACTTCAATTATAAAGGTTGCCACCAGGTGGTGCCAAGATATGTCAGTCACTTCAAGGTCCTTGTTTACTATGTGACTGGGAGGACATAGCTCAGGTATTTTGCCCATGAAGTATGATAGCCATTGATACTATGCAATCTGGATGTTTTCTCCATGAGGGAAGATTGTACTCCCTCTATCTGTTCCTCAGTTGTTGACGTCCTTGCGGATCACTGGTAGGCAATGAAATCTGGCAAAACATGAGCAAAATTCACTAGTCACTAATTAAGTGTGTAGAGGTTTTTTTCTTCTTCTAGAAAAGTGTGAAGAAAATAGAGAAAGGTTGTCTGGAGGCCACATTTACAAGAGGATGTGCTAATGAGGGGCACCACTCTTTTCTGGTGCTAGGATATGAGACAAAGGAGGTCAACAGGGCAGAAGTAGTTGAAAAGGAGACAGGAAATTCAGAGAGTTTTGGGGGAGAGTATGTATTTTAAAAATAGTAAAAAACTTGAACCTACTTATAGGTTAAGTAGTAAAGGATAAGTCCAAGATGCAGAGAAAACAAGTGATTGCTGGGAGTGAGCTTCTAGAGGAGGTGGAAGGAGATTGGCTCTATGCAAAGTTGCAAGTTCTTGTGAAGCCATTTCCCAGATGTGAAGAAAGCTAACAGAGCTTCTTCTACTAGCTGGTCTTTAGACACATCTTCCTTTCTCTTGCTCGGCTCACTCTTTAGTCCTTTCCCTTCTTTTTCCAATTTTTATGGATTGAATCTTGGATGGGTTAGCAGGGAACGGAAAAAATGAGTAACCATGATAATAGGCCATCTTGCTTCTTTGGCCCGCACACCCCTTCCAGGGTCAGGGAGTGTCAAGGAGGATGAAAGGTTATGGGTGGAAAAAGAAATAGGTATTTGTCCTATGTCTCCCTTGGGCCCATATACTGTGTTCGGAAGCTCTTATACAAATTTTTTCACTGCATTCTTACTTACTATTGCTCAACAAGGTAGGTATCTTAAAAATTAATCTGATGTAACTCTTTTATCCTGGTTTAAAAATAAAGAGAGTGACCACATCATTTTATCTGGATCTCCAGAAAAGGTAAGAAGTAGCCCACGTCTGACTGCTAGCCAACTGTGATATGAATCCAGGTATGACTTCAAAGCCCGCATTAGTTTATCTTCTAGCATTCCACCATTCCTGGGGCAAAGAGCTGTGTGTGTTTGTGTGCTTCTTTTGCTAAACTTGGTAGTTTCTCTCCAGTGGTTCTCACATTCTTCCTCACTTTGTTGATGCTGTACATTCATGAACTAATCTGTATTCTCCTTTTTGAGAGCATATGGTGAGTTTAGTTTTAATTAAGTCTTCAGGGAGAGTCAGACACTTGAGACACGTTTATTGAGCAGCTATTCCATGTCAGTTTCTGTGCAAGATACAGACACAGCTTGGCATGAGGCACTCCCATTCTAACTGAAGAGATAAATATTGCACTATCAAAGAGTTAAATAATGAATCAATGCTGGATGTAAGATATGCAATTTTCAGGCATACAAACAGTAAATCATGCAGGGTTTTGAAGAAGGGGCGATCACTGTGAATTGGAGGGGACCTTTTGTGGGAAGTAGGGGAAAAACAAGGTTCTGGACCACCATCTGAGCCTCCTCAAAGAGCTGTGAATTCCTTTCCAGTTAGAGTGGAGGCCAAATCTGTGGTCAAGAACCACGTCAAGTTCTCTGGCCTCCCATCAGGAAAGCCTACAGACAGCCCTGGGCCTCTCTGAATTGGCTCAGGAAGCCCAGATGGGTCATTGGCCTCACCCGCCTCATTGGCAAGGTCGAGATGCTGGTTTGCAGGGAAGCTTACCGACATCTTGTCCCTTGGCATGCCAGAGAGCCTCATGCTTAACCGTGGCTACTTTCTGATGCTTTTAAAATGGAAGAAGCATAATTAACCTGATATTTTCTTTTTATTTCCTCTCCAGTGTTGAAAAGCTTCTGCCATAAATGTATAGGCCTCCATGCCGATAAACACTCATCAAAACAATTCACTCCAGTCAAGTCCCACTGTCCTAGTGCAGTGAGTTTCTCTTCCTCACGCTTGTCATTTCTTTGCTTTTCCCTAAGGAACAACTTTAGATAGACAGGAATCATAAGAGCGTTTTGTAGTTGTTCAGTGCCAGCTCTTATGCCATACCCTTTTGAGGAAAATCCTTTCTTTAACTCCTCTGGCAGTCCAATGGCCCCAGCAACGCCCTAGCATTCTGGGTACACAGATATATTCCCCGAGGCCTGTACTCCTGAACCAGCCTTCCTATCTTCCTAGGGTCTTGGCTTAGGAACTCTTAATAAATTCTAAGAGATGAATTATACTAAGTTACAGTGTGATCCTAAGACTGCAGGTTGGCTTTTTAGATTGCAATCTGGCCACTAAATTCCCATAAAAACACTTCTTTGCCAGCTTCCCCCAGGCACTCTCTCTACTTGCTGTTCTGGTTTTCTTTCTGGACTGACATACTCAGTTCCAATACTATCTTAAAGTCAGACATATCTAAACCCCAACTGAAAGGGAGCAGGTCTTATGAGGATTTGCACAGCCAGCTGTGGGGGAAAGAAGGGCACTTACACAGCACCTGTCATCTCTCCTGATCTAGATCTCAGCCTCCACTGCTTTGCCCTCACCCAGTTGTCCCACTTCACTTAGGACTATTTCACTGTGTTGGGTCATCTCAAGAAAATCCCTTGTGTACATTTGCAGTGAGTAACCCTCACTTCGTCTCCACCACCCCCGAAGTCAGAGGCAATCCCTAATCTATTTTCAGTTTGTATCTTGATTTGTCTGTACTGGACATTTCACTTAAAATGGAATCATAAGTGTAACTGGATTATTTTGCTTAGCATAATGGTTTCAAGAATCATCCATGTGGTAGCATGCATCAGTTTGTTCGTTTTTTTTATTGCCGAATAGTATTCCATTGCATGAATATATAAATTCCTCCCAATAAAGCAGTTTGACATTTATGCCTTGAGTCTCCTAGCAGAAGGCTGCAGGTTCAACTAAGAAGATAATCATGTAGAGACTTGAAGTGCAAGTTAGATTTAAGATCTTATTACCAAGTTCCATACTGAGTTTTCCTTGGGGAGGTTAGGAAGGAAGAAAAGGTTTTACTGATGAAAAGATCTTTCACACAGAAGCAACCACCTCCCCCCCACCCACCCATGGCAGGTAATGCGGATACTTTGAAAGGCTGATCTAACAGTAGTCCTTGAACCCAAGTCCATCTATAAATGTTCTTCCCAGAGATGGTTTCATTTTCTTAAGACAATTGCTCTGTGGACTAACTCACAGGCCTTAGGTCCTGAAAGGCAGTCCTGAGCCTTTTGGGACAACGTAGAACCATGGACTTAGTGGTAATACAAGTACCGCAGGGCTCGTCTTTCTTTTAGGCGTCCATACCCCTATCCCTCCTTTCCTGCTTGGTTGTGTGCAGCACTTCGAAAGTGCTTCCATTCTGAATTCTGGTTCCCTAAATAATCTTTTGGGTTTTTGTACTTCCTAATGTTTACTCTAGACCTCAGTGTCTAATGCCAGCAAATTTCATCTGTGTAAGAAAAAAATTGATAAAGGTTTAGATGTGGTAGGTACAAAGAGTGCCGCATAGAGTGGCATGTGAGGGCTCTGGGTCTTGTCATTGCATTCCTCCCTTCACTCGTAAAGGTTTCTGGGAAGGGGACTGAGGTGAGGACATTAGGAAGATCCCTTAATGCTCAACTAAGAGATCATACTTCCTGAAGAAGCTACTTGGCTTGTAGAAGGCTTTGGCTTGGGAATGCAAGTATGTAGACTGTTCCTGATTTTACCCTTGGTGCTCAACTTCCCAGTTGTGTGTGTTTCTCCCTAAGAAATTATTTTACCTTGACAAACAGCCCAGTTCAAGGATCACATCAACTGTGCCAACACAGCTGGGAGCCATTAGGGGCTCAGCATCTCCCCTCCCGCCCAAGCCACCCAAATATGTGAATATGTGAGTTGTGACCTCTTCCCCAAACCCCTCCCAACCACTGCAGCAGAGCTGGGACTGGAATGTCCCATCTGCACTCTGCATCTCAGCTTTGAGTTACAGAAAATTGCTCCATCCATGATTCTTTATCCCCCCCACCCCAGGTTTCTAAAACTAAGTAAAAAGTCAATAAACAACCATGTCATTGTTTTCAAATTTGACACCAAAAATTCCATTTGATCACTGGGTTTGCATGGATTCAGTATTGTTTACCCTCTCCACCTCCTTAGCTGCTGTCTGGTGTTTCAAGTCCTTAAAGAGATATAATATGTAGCTTTATGTTTTATCCCCTGTTCTATGTCTAGATGGGGCTGACATACATCAGAGACTGATAGGTACTTAGTGGACTACGTTGAGACTATTAAAGCCTATTGGTGACAGTTAACCTGGAACTCAAAGTTAAGATATGACTTAAACAAATTTCCAGAATAATGGAGAGCTTTTAGATGAGTGTTAAAAAGCAAGCAGTAAGCACTGAATGGGTGACGGAGAGAAATGTTTGCATCTCTGCCCCTGGAGAGCTGCACAAGATCACCCTTTTTGAGGCAGTCATTGATAAACCTAAAGGCAGAGGCATGGACCAACTGAGGTCTTCTGGTTCTTTCTCAAACTGTATTTGGTTCTGAAGAAACTTCTCTAAGCCTGTTTCCTCATTTATAAAATAAAGTGGTTAGCTAAATAACTTCTAAAATTCCTTCCAACTTTGACTGTTAACTTATGTTTTAAAGCCCTATTGTTAAATAGCCATCCATCATGTATGAAGAGTGGTGAAATAAGACTGGGGCATGGGCCAGTTTATAAAAGCAAGTGGAAAATAAGGGTTTTTCTGCCTAAATTTTCATTCTCCCATGATTGCACACAGCTTGACACACACACACAAACACACATACACACACATGATAGATAGATAGATAGATAGATAGATAGATAGATAGATAGATAGATAGAAAGAAAGAAATAGAGATATATATTAGCTTCGTTCAGCTCAGATCTACTGGAGAATAATTACCCAAGTTCTGATTATGTGTCTTTTTTTGAGCATTTATGTGACCCTTTATATTATGAATAGAAGTTGACATGCCAGAAGTATTGGTTGAGCCTAGATCCCTGCTGTGAAATGAAAGCTGTATGGAAATTCAAAACACTGTAATATAATCCCAACCACTAATAACTCTACATAAAACCAGCAAATAAATTGCCTTAATAATCTAAAAGCACACTTTCCCACATATCAATGCTCACTTCATTGTTTTTCCATGTTAGGAAACTATTAGATGCATTATCTAAGTCCAAGAAATCATTGTATAGCTTTACATTTGGTTCCAAATAAAGTGGTAATGCCTAACCCAAGAGGAAAAACTGTTGAGCTTCATCTTAGAAAGGGTAAAGAAACAATGAGAAAAGTAAGAATATTAGAATCTAATTCATCCTACATACCTGCTTTATGCTCAATATAGGAAAAAGTAAGCAACTCCCAACCCATAAAAAATATTTTTTAAGATGGAAGTTTTCTGCTGAGACAAAAAACTCATAAGGAGACACCAGATTTGCATCTAAAAAAAAAAAAAGACCAGAAAATCCACAGCTGACAACCCACCTAACCCTCTCGTTTTGGCAGAGGGATGCCCAATTAATCTTCAGTTTGGACTTGTCTCTCTCCAGAATGCCTATTCCTTTCCAGAGTTATTTTGGCTTTTAAAGAATATATGGAATGTTTCATTCTGTAACCAGACCCTTAATCAAGGAGAATTATGTTCATTAAGAAAAAGAGGTTTGAGAACCGGAAAAATATAGTTGTCTCTATTGAACAATTTTTTAAAAGATATATGTCTAGATTTTCTTTCCCTTTGAGACTAGGATTTATTTCTGCTTTGTAAGCAGAATGTCAAGGTACCGGCCAACTGCCTCCTCCACGAAACTTTCTCCATCTACTCAAGACTTCATTGGTATTTCCTGCCTTTGAACTCTGTGAGTGCTGAAACACTGAGTCACACAATCATGTCTTCAATTATATGGTGCATGTATGCAGCTATGCCTTTGTCCATGCCTGTCTCTCTACCCCTTATATCTCCATACCTCCCCTTTGTCCAACAGCCTAACTGTAGTCATTCCATGGAATCTATTTTGCCTACCACTGGGGTAGCTTTAGAGATCCTTTATCTGGACACTCAATTATGCTTTAAAAATGCCTCCACTGTATCCCCGTCACATTGTATTGTATTTGTATTATTTGGGTCTCATTTTTCTACTCATGGTGGAATGACACAGCCAAGGATATCTTGACGGAAGACATGCATTTACATCCCGAACAAATATTGCCCAACCTGTCCAGACTCCCTCAGAACTTTCACCATGGAAAAGAGTGTCCGTTGAAGGGTTCCTATGAGTGATCCATTACCACTTACTATTCATGCTGCTGCCATCTCTATTCATCCAAAGATGTGGACAACTCTCGTTGTCATGGAGACCGTGTTGCCCTTGCTTTATGTTAAGAAAGGGCTTCACGTCTAGGGTCTCCTAACTCATTTTCCTAGAGAGGGAGCATCAATGTTTATCCCCGTCAGGCCTTGTATCTTAAGTTCAAGCAGCCTTTCAAGCACAGGTGGTCCAGGAAATCTCATCTTGACAGATAGGATCAGACCGGATAATCCTTAGTTCTCTTTTAAAATTCACTGCTGGGGTGAAAACTACTAAATCCTAATGATAGCTATGTCCAAGGGCCACTATCAGCACATCTATCTCATCCTGTCTCATACTCTTTCTTTCCATTTCTCCTGACACTTCCCCACAGATCTTTTCCCTGTGGTTAGAGTATCTACTGCTTTGTGTTTTCACTCACAATCTTCCTGTTTCACCCCAATCTTCCTGACTCTTCAGAAACTTTCCTAGACTCTTATAACCGATTATTGTACCCACAGGACATCTGCGACGACCCTCGTCTGATTGTGGGCAACATCAGCAACCACCAGCTGATCCAAGGGAGACTGGGACATAAGCCAATGGTCTCTGCATTCTCCTGCTTGGCAGTTCAGGAGTCTCACTGGACAAAGGTATCTCCCCCTTCTGTGGGACCTCACTGCATTTATACCTTCTTATCTTCTTTAATGACTTTAGGGAAAGTCAGCTTATAACTTAGTTTGTTAATTTCTTCTGTTAAGGCAGAGATATTAACTAGCTGACTCCATTTTATTATGAGAGTTTTCACAAATACAAAAAGTCGGAAGAATACTATAATGAACACTCACATACTCACCTAGATACTACATTAACATTTTACTCTATTTGCTTTTCTATACATACTAGTCGATCTTTTGCCATGCAGTGCTTTGACCCAGCAGCTCTGCATACTTGTATTATTTGTGCTTGCTGGGTATAAACCAATGGAGGCCAGAAAGTCATTAACAGATGTGAATAGCGGAAAAGGTGAGTAAGATGGAAATAGATCCTTGAAAAGGTTCTAATAAATTATTAAAAGTACAACAATTCCTTTGGCATTTAAGTAGAGTTCAGAGCAGTGAAGTGTTGACTTGATTTGAGATTAAGTTAGCATTTTCTTCAGAAAAATTAACTTTAGAAGATTAATATGCAATTGTTACATTAAAGGAGAATTTCTTATATCTATATTATATAGGATATCCATCCTAGAAATGACAGGATGGATATTTAAAAACATAAGTCACAGGGGGCCTTATATTTAAATTGATTTTGCTGTTTTAAAATGCTTTGTTCATGTGGTTAAATAGGCAATCATGAATACTTTTGTATCGACAACATGTCATGATGCATTTTGTAGATTACCTGTGGGAAATTAACCCTTAACTGGCTGTCCTGTCACCCTGTGTTTATTTGGGATGGGTATGGTAATAGTACCCTCAGCAAAACTGAACTGGTAAAGCAGAAGTTGTGGAAAGAAAGTCCTACCTAGGACTTCCAAACCTAGACCCGTGCCGAATGCATTAGTTGTTTCCTGTTTTGACGTTGACTTTCCAGGCGTCAACTGTAATTTTAATATTTGGATGTAGTGAAGTGCATAACAGCTGACTGAATGCTCTTTCCAGACAATTCCCAACCATAAGGAACAGGAATGGGACCCTCGAAAACTAGATAAATATGCTGGAATATTTCGCTTCCGTTTCTGGCATTTTGGAGAATGGACCGAGGTGGTGATTGATGACTTGCTGCCCACCATCAATGGAGATCTGGTTTTCTCCTTCTCCACATCCATGAACGAATTTTGGAACGCTCTGTTGGAAAAAGCTTATGCAAAGTAAGGAGGAGGGTTGTGGGTTACATAAGAAAAGGGAGGCTACATTTATGCTTGGGAACACATCCCCTCCCGGACTGGAATTTAAATTGGATAGGACCTCTGTTAGACCCAAGGCATCGCTTAGGGCCTGGAACTGAACCTCTGAACTTTTAGACGAGAGAGAAATCACCTGTTCTGATTTCTCTTAAACCCCATCTGCTACTCAGTGCCCCTTCCTGCTGCTTATCTGCAGATCACATGGTATTATGGACTCAAATTTTCTCTTTGTCCACTACTTTCCTGTAGAAAGAAATTTCTGCATGGCCTATCCTTTGTCAATATAGCCTAAATCTAGTAATCTCTGACTGTAGTCTCAAAATATCTCTCATTTTACATCTAAAGAAAAGTTAGCTGAGCAGATACTGTTTTAATTCTTGGGAACAATATGCCCTCACCTGGAAAAGTAATTTTACAAAGATAAGCTTGCATGTTTGCCCCTAGGCTGCTTGGATGTTATGAGGCCCTTGATGGTTTGACCACCACTGATATCATTGTGGATTTCACTGGCACGTTGGCTGAAACTGTTGACATGCAGAAGGGAAGATACACTGAGCTTGTTGAGGAGAAGTACAAGTTGTTTGGAGAACTGTACAAAACATTTACCAAAGGAGGTCTGATCTGTTGCTCCATTGAGGTTTGTAGTCACCAAAACAAACGAACAAACAACAAATAAACAAAGCACTCTTGCTCACTTCTGGAAGAGGGGTTTACAAAATTTGGTGGGGCACATCACCCTTGCCCCAGAGATCCATGAAATGCCTTTATTCGCTCAGGAAGCTAACAATACCCATGGAGTCCTGACACAGAGGTGGAGGAATTTTAACTTTTTATCCTTTTGTACAAGTCATCCTGTGGGGAACAGCACAATATCTGAGCTTGTACAAGTAGCTTCTGCTAAATTATTCCTCCTGCCTCTGCTCCTGGATGTTGAGGTTATAGCTGTTGGCTCAAGGAATAAACCAACTCCATCAAATTTTAATGCCATTCATATCAATGAGTCGTTTGAATCTGAGTTGTTTAAATCATTTGCTTTATTAAATCCTTTCTTTCACTTGCTTTGCATCAAGTTAGGTGTCAGTGTCAAATTTCCACTTGCATGGGGAGAACTGGTTTCAACCAGGGGTAAGCCAGTCAAGGAAGAGGAGGAGCCAGGCGTTGGGTCTACCAGTTCTTGTGTGGTTATGTCTCTTTGCTCTCAGTCTCCCAATCAGGAGGAACAAGAAGTTGAAACTGATTGGGGTCTACTGAAGGGCCATACCTACACCATGACTGATATTCGCAAGATCCGTCTTGGAGAGAGACTCGTGGAAGTGTTCAGTACTGAAAAGCTATACATGGTTCGCCTGAGGAACCCCTTGGGAAGACAGGAATGGAGTGGCCCCTGGAGTGAAATGTGAGTGGCCTTTCACCTTGACTGCTATATCCCCAAAGCCCAATAATTCTCTCACACCCATCCCTCCTCACCACTAGTGTTGTCACAGGATCTATGACCCAGCCGGAGGTAAGATCAGGCAGGTCCAACTCTCCATATCTTCTGTTCCTTTGGCACTATGTTTCCATGGCCATGGCAAACTTAGGGTTTATCTCTTTGTTCCTTATTTGCCTTCAGTTCTGAGGAGTGGCAGCAACTGACTGCAACAGATCGCAAGAACCTGGGGCTTGTGATGTCTGATGATGGAGAGTTTTGGTAAGTAGAGGTTTTCTGTGCTAAGGGAACTGGGGCTTCCACATGGAACCACAGGGGTATGTATGAATTACCATCTTCATTTCTTTCCTGCACTCATTCCATTCAGGATGAGCCTGGAGGATTTTTGCCGCAACTTTCATGAACTGAATGTCTGCCGCAATGTGAACAACCCTATTTTTGGCCGCAAGGAGCTGGAGTCATTGGTGGGATGCTGGACTGTGGATGATGATCCCCTGATGAATCGTTCAGGGGGTTGCTATAACAACCGTGATACCTTCCTGCAGAATCCCCAGGTTTTTTAAAAAATTATTATTGTATTATTTTCTTTATAGAGATAACATTGGTTTAAGACACTATATGCTTTATAGGTAGAGGCTCACATCTCTTCAGATGCATGTTGCCACATCGCACCCACCACCAAGGCACCCACAGTCCTCCACCTAGTCCATAGGGTACCCTCTTCCCTTTGCTCCACACCCCACTTCTGGCATCCCCAGGTTTGAATCACTTCCTTTTCTTTGCCTTAAAGTTATCAAGGCAGTGTAATCCAGGTCTCATCTTGGAGTACTTCTTTGATATCCATTGTTCCATTTCTAGCCATTGCATAATATTTATCAATCAAGATGCCTAGGGATTGGCTCAGATGCACGTAAAGTACGGCAGACTGTGTCTCTTTACAGAGACGTACCTTGGCAATATTATCAAATCTGAATTACCTCCTCTGGCTGCCTCTCTCCTGGTCTTATGGTTTGGTGTGGCTCCTGGGCACTGCCTGCCTCCTCTCATTTCTTTCTCATTCTCTTTATTGTCCAACTTTTCTCTTGGGGACAAATTGCTAAACGTGTCCTCTTTCACATGCAGGTGATTTTTCTCAACCCTATCATTATACCTTCATTTCTCATCTAGCACAAGATCATTTTCCTCAAGCTTTGAATCACTAACCTGTCAACGACTCCACTCTATCTCCCCTTACAATGCTATTGCAGGTGACACATTAGGGGTCAAGCATAGGGATACCTCAAAACAGCCAAAGCTTGAACCTCTAATAATCTTGACAATTTATTCTCCAAATGTGCTAACTCATGGAGACAAGAATTCCATTCTGCTTGTCTTACTGCCTTATATGGCTGTGTCTTTTCCTTCTATGGATCTCATTGGCCAGGGATTTTAGAGGAAACTAAGGGTCGTGGGTGATTTAGTTAATTCATACTTTTCTTTCAGCCCCTCCACCTTAATTGTCCCTAAAGGCAAAAAAGCTCCTGTTACTCCCTAACTAATCATCCATTTACAAACCTGGGAATATTTAAACTATCCAGCACGTATACCAAGCTGGGAAAATGTCCCTTTCAGCTTCACTGGTTAAGTGTCTGCACAGGATTGACCTTGGGAACCTATGGTTCTGCATATGTTTCAGTTTCTTATTAAAGGGAGGGAGAGAGAGGGAGATCGGGTGTCTTTTAGTTCAACTTTCAAATGGTACCATAATCCACCAGATGATGTTATGTTTGCACAGTCTCTAGCACTGGCCTGCCTCTTCGCTAAAGTGCTGGTAGCAAAGCATTAATTCTCCAAAGGAGTGGACCCAGCCCTTACACAAGTCACATGTCTGGGCTGGCACAGGAACCTAGCTCAGGGGGAGGCTGCAGAGTCAGGTTAAATCAAACAAGAACACTTTCTGTCTTTATAGATTCTGGAATTTTTCTGTGTACCGTTTTTCAAAACAAGAGATAATAATGAAAACAAATACCCAAGAACATAAAAAAGCAACGCATATGCTCTTTGGTATCAAAGGCCTAGTCACAAAGTTGTCTCTGAACACATGTTAAATGTCATGGGAAGAAATAAGTATTATGATTGATCCTTAGCAAGTCAGTGAATTGTCCAAGGCCTTGCTGTCTGGTCAAAGCCCAGAACAAAACCCAAGGCTCTGCTTCCCAGTGTAGAGTTTTCTTCCCTGAAGTTGCAGCTGGCTCATCTGCAATGGAAGTACTAACTAAGCTCCTTGGTGGCCTCTTTCCTTTAGTACATCTTCACTGTGCCTGAGGATGGCCACAAGGTCATCATGTCACTGCAGCAGAAGGACCTGCGTACTTACCGCCGCATGGGAAGACCTGACAATTACATCATTGGCTTTGAGCTCTTCAAGGTAAGAATAAGCATTTCCAGCAGAGAGAATGAGGGCAGGGCCAACGATCCTAATGGCTTGGGATTAGGGAAATTAAGAAAGACCTGGGGATAGCCAACAAAGAGGACCTAGAGTCTTCCAGTACAAAAAATTCTGATTTGAGCACAAGAGAGTCTCCTTCAATTTCATTTCCAGGTGGAGATGAACCGTAAATTCCGCCTCCACCACCTGTACATCCAGGAGCGCGCTGGTACTTCCACCTATATTGACACCCGCACCGTGTTTCTGAGCAAGTACCTGAAGAAGGGCAACTATGTGCTTGTTCCAACCATGTTCCAGCACGGCCGCACCAGCGAGTTTCTCCTGAGAATCTTCTCTGAAGTGCCTGTCCAGCTCAGGTTCAGTTTCCTTGGCCAACCCTGCCAACTCCGGTTCTCTGCCTTGCCTCCAGTCCTAACCCTCTAGATCTTTCTCCCCCAAGTAGATAGTCAAAGGGACAACTTGTTCAAGTTCAAATTTCGCTGTAATGGTAGTAGTCAAAATACTTCTCAAAGTGGGGCTCTCAGAAACTCCCCAGAGGAGGTGTGAGCTGCAGAGCTCTGAGCTGCCATTCAAGGGGAATGGGTCTTTAACCTGAGCTTTTCCACTTACACTTTACCTTCTGTTCTCTGGCTGACTCTGCTCTTAAACAGCTGGCACTCCGCGCTGATCCTCTACTATGTTCTGAGTACTGGGTCACCAAAGCTACGTTTTCACCCAGCCCTGCCTATTCAGATCTTCACCTGCTGGTCCATACAGCAAGGAGAAAGGGAAACATAAACTATAAGCTGTGTCTGAGGACGCATGGGCTCGGTCATGCAGTATTTCATCCTTTGCAACAACAGCATCAGCTTCGGCAAGCCTCATCAAAGTGCATTCATCGTCAGGTGATAGAGCTTCTTTTTCATGTTGCAGGGAGCTGACTCTGGACATGCCCAAAATGTCCTGCTGGAACCTGGCTCGTGGCTACCCAAAGGTAGTTACTCAGATCACTGTTCACAGCGCTGAGGGCCTGGAGAAGAAGTACGCCAATGAAAGTAAGACCTGCAGGGGTGTCTGGGAAGGTCAAAGTCAGTTTCATTTCTTGCATGTATGGTTAGAAAAGATGGCCATGAGGGCCTCCCCTGGTGGCGCAGCGGTTGAGCGCTGGGCTGCGAGGCTGCCCTGCAGCCTCTGCAGCACCGGTTTGTTCCCTGGCCACTGGCAAGGGTCCCACAAAAAAAATTTAAAAAAAAAAGATGGCCACGAACCTTTCTCTCCAGTGTATTTTCAGTCTGGGGAAGTCAGAATGGATGTCAGCTTCTTTGGGCTATACCTCTACACTGCTCATTTTATGTTCCTATTTAAAGTGTGGAAAAGAAAAGGGAAGCAGGGGCAGGTGTTGATTCCTAGGTCATTCTGGAACACAGAGGTTATGGCAAAAGCCCCCAGATAGATTTAGTGACATTGTGCCTCCTGTATCTAGAAAGGGAAATTTAATGACTGCCTTAAAAAACAAATGTCACTTTGTTCCAGCTGTAAACCCGTATTTGGTCATCAAGTGTGGAAAGGAAGAGGTCCGTTCCCCTGTGCAAAAGAATACCATCCATGCCATTTTTGACACCCAGGCCATTTTCTACAGAAGGACCACTGACATCCCTATCATTGTGCAGGTAAGTATATGGATAGGGACCCCCTCGAGGGTTCAGCTTCAGTACCAGTAGGAGATTATTTCAAGTGCCTCACCTGTGTCTAGAACACACCACAAGGGTCATTCTGGTTTTCAGTTTGTTTTGTACTCAAAGACTCGTCCCAGCAGGCACAGAAACTGACTTCCTTATTAACCTCCATCCTAAATATTCTTTCCTCTCTTTCATTGTGGGAAGAAGCCCACATGCTCACAGGTATAAATGTTAGCACATTTGCTGTAAATTTCCATCAGGGGAAACATGCTAGTTCAAGTGCCCCACATTCTGCAAGGTCATACTTGGACTATCACCATTTGGCCATTTTTCTGTTTTAATGCTTCTGAGTGCTGCCTTTAGGTAGGCAACTCACAAGACAAGGTTGACCCTGAGGTCAGCCTACTGATTTGCCACCTACACTTTTGGAGATATCTTCCCCTCACACAGAGAAGTATCAAGAAACATAGTCTCTTGATTTTGAAACAGCTCTCCAAGCTCAGCCTGAGGTTCTAGTTGCCACCTAATACGGATTCCAGTCTCATGGGGGGTTAGTCGTCTTCATTCTCTTGACTTGTTTCTCCAGGTCTGGAACAGCCGAAAATTCTGTGACCAGTTCCTGGGGCAGGTGACTCTGGATGCTGACCCCAGCGACTGCCGTGATCTGAAGTCTCTGTACCTGCGCAAGAAGGGTGGCCCGACTGCCAAAGTCAAGCAAGGTCACATCAGCTTCAAGGTCATTTCCAGCGATGATCTCACTGAGCTCTAAGTCTCTCCCACTCTGGAGAATACTGACAGAGCTTCCATACTTTATTTTTTTTTTCTGTCAGACGCCAGGTCTTATCTAAGATTTGTAATCTTTTGAAAGAAAAAAATTCACAGTAATTAACTTTTCCTTTCTTCTGATAAGTTCCCCATACCTCCCGATCCAAGTAGCATCAGTAGCTACAAACCTATATACCTCCAGCAGCTGGACAGGGGGAGATGACAGTCTTATCTGGAGATCATACTTATGTTGGCCAAGAAAAGATCTCTGGGGCTTCCGGGGGTGAGATTCGAGCAGGTCATTAACAACAGCCTGGATACTTCATAGGTATTTTTGCTGCTTTCAGGTGCCCAATATATCTTCCCTGTAGGGCATGTTGAGGAAGGGGGAGGGTTGATCAAGGCCAAGCTGGTCTAGCCTGACATCCCAGCTCCTGAGTGAACACTACAGCCTTCCCAGCAGCATTTTACCCAGCGGCCAGAGCCTGCTTGAACGTCCCCATGCTTTACCATCTACCATCACCCCCACCTCCATGACCACCCCCACCTCCACCATCACCACCTCCAGAAAGTGTAGCCCTGCCCTTACCCAAGTCACCCCCCACAGGTAGGTTCCACCTTCATGTTGAGGAAGCTTCCTAGGTGCTTAATCAAGGGCTGGAGTTCAGTGTGGCTCGACAATGGGAAAAGCTTGAGCTCCAGCTCAAATGGAAGCGAGCTGTGTGCCACAAGAGGGAAAAGTGGAAGAAGCTGCAGTGGGACACAGTCTGTGTCCCTCACCCATCCACACACACCTACACTCACACGCGCACATGGGCGTGCACGTACTACCGTTCAGGCAGTCAGCGGGCAAGAGGAAGGACAAATAAATACCACACACCCCCAAAGGATGAGAGACTCCATCCAGGCATAGTACAGCCCGTTTGGGGCCCCTGACTGCAATGTGAAACCTTCTGCTGCTGCTAGGTTTACAAACAAGCCCATTGTCCTGTGCCTCCTAATATTGTTGGTACTGAATAATTCTATCTAGAGGCTTGAGACTTTGGGTCCTGACCCAGGTCCCTCAGGCTTTTCTTTCGTTTGGGAAGCTTCCCTCCCTGGGGGTGTTTGTTTGCCCTCTTGTTTTTTCAGTACTTCTACAGAATTTTCTCTAGAGTCAGTCATTCTGAAATGTCCTTCCCTCCATCTCATCTATTAACATTCTATCCCTCCTTCAAGGCCCAGCATAAATGCCACCTCCTCCATGAAGCCTTCCCTGAACTCCCCAGCCCCCACCTCCAACAATATTTCAACGCTTCTGCAATGATGAAAAGAAACTTAGTTGTAGTACTTAGTTTAGCCCAGGAATGCATTCATTTAAAAATATTTTGTAGTGTTTTTTTTTTCTTTAGCTTGCTCATTTCCTACCATGTTCTTCAGTCTGTGTAACCTCTGCTGTGCCTTCACCACACTGCCTTACATAATCCAAACCACAATAAAGTTCACATTCAATAAATTGATTTGTCCTGACTTGATTTGATGACAGAGAGAGATGGCAAGAGTGGCCATATGGTGATGCTACTTTCAGAGTCTAGAGGTGGGGTGGAAGTGGGGGTAATTTGTGCAAATTGTACCCAAGTCTGCTAGATGTAGAAGCCTTTGCTACATTCTGATGGTACAGTCCTTCATAAAAATTATAGTGGGTGGGGGGACTTGGGGTGGAAAAGACACTTTTGTTTTCCATATTTTGGGGCATTTGGGGGTGGTATTTGGGGTTACACAATTTTGGAATTTCTTTGGGATTAGACTCAAGACCAAAGTTACAAGGGACAGTTCTTTCAAGGGCAGACCTCCCAAGAGAAGAAAATATCTTTCTTCCCAACATCTCCCTTAGAGCCAAATGAATGTGAAGACTTTATTCACTTGATCCCACACTTAATCTGCATCTGCTCATCTTAGGCAGGCTATGGGGAAAGCTCCTTTTTTGCCTCAAGCTCTTCTGACTGACGGGAAAGGATATCCAGGCAGAAGAAGGTTGTCCTTGGAGACCCTTCTCCACGCTCATCAGAACAGTACTTAAGTAGGCCTCTCACTTGTTGTCCCTGCAACACTAGTTCAGAACCCACTAGAGATGATACCTTAAATATAGGATTTAGATGTGGTAGACCAATGTTAAAAATAAAGTCTCCAACACAGGTAATGTAATAGTTCTATATGGTCACCAGATGGCACTATGATATTACAATTAAGCTCAAAGAGACTAAGGATGAGAAATTTTTTCCCCAAATAAAGAGTTAGAAAAGAAAAGGCCTTGACCCTTTCTGATTGTCTGCTATGTGATCTCATTTTAATGCCCTTAATCACCATATGAAGTGCTGGCATGGACCCTGTTTTTTAAAGATAAGGAAATTAAAGAAAAGATAGGCTAAATACCTTATTCAAGGTTAGTCAGCCAGTAAGTATATCATGACTATTAGTCAGATAATAATGTTGACTTGACTCCTAAACCTTCTTTGAAAATATGCTGTCCACGGAAAGTGGTAACATCTTGCCTACATCTATACTATGAGAGGTGTATTAACAATATTGTACAAGAGCTTAGCAATTAGCATACCAAATGTTTCCTTCAGCATATTTACCTTTCTAAATTACATATGTATGCATATGCTATATCCATAAGCTGGGTCTTCACAAAAGGAATTCAATGCACTAATATGTACCATACGTTTTTGATAACAAAACAAATGCACCTCAAAAAGGTTGTATCCTGCCTGCTTCTATTAATATAAAATGTAGAAAATGCAAAACTAATTGAAATATAAATCAGTACAGTAAACTGTACAGTAAACTGTCAGGTTACAAAATCAATTTACATAAATCAATTGAGCATTGATTTGCAAACAATGAACTAGAAGCAAAAAAAAATCAAGAAAACAGCCCTGAGCCAAATTCCTTAGCTCAGGGGGAGGCTGCACTGTCAGGTTAAGTCAAACAAGAATGCTTTCTGTCTTTATGGATTCTGGAATTTTCTGTGTACCATTTTTCAAAACAAGGGATAATTATGAAAACAAATAGCCATTTGTTGTCATAAATGGCAAGAGTTCACCTTTTTTATAGCTGAATAGTATTCCATTGTGTATATTGAGCTAAATGAAATAAGGAGGAGAAAGACAAATACCAAATTATTACACTTATATTGAATATACAGGAAAAAAAACCAAAGAACTCACAAACATAAACCAAAGTAAACCCAAGAAAGATATCTGCAGAATTAAGGCTGCTGGATGGACAGTGGGGGTGGCGATAAATCAGGAAGGGAGCCCTATGACCCAAGGTAAAGGTTTATGGGTGCTTTGCTGTGGAGGTGGTACAGCAACACACATCTGAGGAGTTGTGAACATATTCCCCTAAAGCATAAAGGTGTTGTAAACCAATGTTACCTCAACAAAGAGAAAGAAAACAATCCCGTTTATAATAGCATCAAAAAGAATTAAATATCCAGTAGTACTCTTACCAAAGAAGGTGAAGAAACTATATAGTGAAAACTATAGGACATTGTTAAAAGAAATGGACCTCACAAAGAAATGGAAAGATATCCCCTGCGCTGCGTATGAATTGGAAGAATTAACAAAGTTAAAATGGCCATCTTACCCAAGGCAATACAGAGATTCAATACAATCCCTATCAAGGTTTTATTTATTTTTATTAATTTTTTAATCTTTTACATCATTGTTCCTTTTAAAACAATATTTGCTTCCCCCCCACCCCCTCAGGTGTAGTCCCCATAGAGTTTCCTTCACCAATGCACCTGTGCACCATCACTCAGTCCCCTGTGCTCCTCCCTCCCTCCCTCTGATCCCTCTCCCTCCTCAAGGTTTTAAATGGCATTCTTGAAAGAAATAGAACAAACATTACAGAAATTCACATCAAATCACAAAAGATCCCAAAACACAATACTGATAGAAAAGAATAATGATGGCAACAAACTCACAGACTTCAAACTATGCTACAAAGCTCTAGTAGTCAAAACAGTATGGTACTAAAATAAAAATATTCACACAGACCATTGAGAGTCAAGAAACAAACCCACACATATAGACAGTCTATAGTAAAGTAGCCAAGAATATATTGGAGAACAACAAATGGTGTTGGTAAGACTGGACAGTCCCATGTAAAAGAATGAAAATAGACCACTAGCTCACTCCTTAGACAAAAATTAACTCCAAATTATTAAAGACTTGTATGTAAGACCTGAAACCATAAGATATATTGAAGAGGATATAGGCCAAAAACTCCACAGCATTGGTTTCAGTGATGTCTTTGTCTATTCATCTTCAACAACAAGAGAAATAAAACAGAATAAAAACAAATGGGACTACATCAAACTAAAAATCTTCTGCACAGCAGAAGAAACTATAATTAAAGCAAAGAGACACCTTATTTAATGGGAGAAAATATTTGCATGCCATATATCTGACTGATATCCAAGATCAGGAAAGAACTCATGCAGCTCAACAAAAAGAAAACAAATAACCCAATAAAAAAAAAGTGGGGAGGCAGAAAAACTAAACAGACACTTCTCCAAAGACATACAGATGGCTAACAAGCACATGAAAAAAGTGTTAATCATAACTTATCATCAGGAAAGTGCAAATAGAAACTATAATGAGATTCCATCTCACATTTGTAAGAATGGCCCATATAAAAAATACTAGACACAAGTGTTGGTAAGGGTGTGGAGAAAAAGGAACCCTCATACTATGTTGGTGGGAATGCAGACTGGTGCATCCCTTATGGAAACCAGTATGCAGATATACCAAAATATTAAAAATATGCCTGCCATATGTCCAAGCAATTCCAATCATAGGTATCTACCTGAAGAATGCAAAAACACTAAGTCAAATGGATATATGCACTCCCATGTTCATAGCAGCACTGTTTACAATAGCTAAGCTGTGGAAACAATCTAAGTGTCCAAAGACAGAAGAGTATATTGGGAAGCTGTGGTATACATACAGAGTGAAATACTTCTCAGTTATAAAAAAGGATAAATTGGGGGGAGCTCCCTGGTGGCACAAGGGTTTAAGCGACAGCACTATGACGCTATCTGCAGCTACTGCAGCATGAGTTCCATTCCCCAGCCAGGGAACTACCCCATGTGGCACAGCAGACCTCTCCTGTCTCGCCTGCTGCTCCCCTCGGCAGTGTATTTCAGTAAATCCACCTGTTCTGCTCCCCACTCTGTCTCTGGTGAATCCTCTCAACCCCTACACGTCTGGCCTGTACCCCAGTTCTTGTATGCATAAATAAATAAATCTTTTTTAAAAAGGATAAACTGTTGCCAATTGTGGCAACATGAATGGAACTGTAAGGGATTATGCTAAGTGAAATATGTTAGAAGGAGAAAGACAAATATGGGTGGTTTCACTTATAGTGGTATATGGAGAAATAAAGCACTTCATATGGTGGTTAAGAGCATTAAAAAGAGATCACATATATAAATCATTAAGCCTGGAGTCTAACACATATTGTAATATAAAACAGTCTGAAGAAATTTTTAGGAGTATTGGCACATTCATTAATTTTTGAACTACTCTGTATTTGATCACCATACTGCCTGCATAACTGTATGTATTTTTCAAAACTCAATTTACTATAACTAAATTTTAAAGAAATTAAGCCTTATAATTACTTCACCTTCCCCCACTACACTTCTACCATTTCCGTACGAATTATATCTAAAATACATTAGACACTCCTCCAGACAATGGTGTAATTTTTACTTTCAACAATCATACCTATTTTTAAGAAATTTAGAGGAATGAAACAATCTTATAATTATTATTTCTGTTTCTCTTTTTCTGTTCCTGAACTTCCAAGAATCTTTCTGGTATCATTTATGTTCAGATTGAAGAACTTCCTTTTAGAACTGTTAGTTTTTCTTCATCCAAGAATGTCTTCATTTTTCCTTTATTCCTGAAGGATATTTTCATTGGATTTAGAATTCTGGTTTGGAAGCCCTTTCCTTTCAGCAACTTAAAGACACTGTTCCTCTCTTCTGTCTTCCATGGTTTCTAATGAGAAATCCACAATATTTTAAATTATTGATGTATCATTTTTTTTCTAAATGCTTTCAAGTTTTATCTTTGCTGTTCAGTATTTTTACTATTTAGGAGTGATTACCTAAGTTTATACAGTTAGGAGTTCACTGAGTTCTTGAATTTGTAAATTTATGTCTTTGATCACATTTTAGGAAGTTTTCAGTGATTAATTATTCAAAGTTACTTTCTGTACTAATTTTTGTTGTGCTCCCTCTAGGACTTCAGTGATATGAATGTTAGAGCTTTTGATATTGTCCCCCAAATCTTAGAGGTTTTATTCAATTTTTTTCATTTTTCAGTTGTTTTCATTTTTAAAAGGTACATACACTGATTCATTTGATATAAATAAGCACAGTTATTGAACACCAAAGAGATATACCTAATTCCAGGGGTCAAGGAAATCTTTCTGGCAAATGTTAATTGTCTAAGGCAAT